CGTCCCGGGCTCAGCCTCCACCGAGCCGCCGGGAGACCTGCGGCAATCCCGGGACGGGCTGTTGGTTCCCTGCCCCTCCCCGCCATGGTGCCGCGCCTCCATTTTGCATGGAACAGGCTCTCCAAGAACACCGTTGTGTCAGGCAGGGGTTCACCACCGCGCGCACAGGCACAGCAACGTGGCGTCTCTCCGGTTATAATTATATACATCTATCTCCACAAACTCATCTGCAAGTTCTTGGTATCCCCAAGAGGGAGCATCCCCCCGTGCACCAGCACCCACTGGCACAGACATGGATATGGACATGGTGCACTGCCGGATCTAGGCATACAGGTCTGTCCTGGAGCAGCTCTTTGTCCCTTCAGAGACCTCAGAAATAATTAGCCGCCCATGGCCGTTGGGCTGGTCACTTTTGGTAAATGGCAACAGCACTCAAGAGCCATGGGTATGTTATAACGATTGCCCTTTTCTCCCCTTAGGATCATAGGAATCCAGGCTTGGTTTGAGTTGGAAGGGACCTTAAAGCTCATCCAGTTCCGACCCCCTGCCACGGGCAGGGACACCTTCCACAAGATCAGGACACCAGTGCTTTACCAAAAAAAGAACTGGGTGATTTTTAAGGCCTGTTCCAACCCAAACCATTCTGATTTCAAGTTCTCATGTCTATCACTGAAGACATTTTAGAGCCAAATGCCCTTTTTCACCATGTGAAACCGTAACAAGCTGGCTGTGATCACAAAGAGCACCTGATTGCTTTTTATATGACACCTTCCAGTCTCAAGTATTTCAAATAGCAGTATATATCTCATATATTTCCCCTTCACCCTGGCCTCTTTCCTAGTCTCAGAGAAGATTCCTAAAATTACTGTGCTTCTCCCACCTCCTTTGATATCTTTAGATGAAAGGTGCAATTGATTTTACGTGCAAAGTACTATGCATGAATTGCTCTCCCCACCTGTGTCACCTTATAGCTGTGGGAGTCAAACAGGGAAGGTATCGAACTCGGAACAAAGCCCAACCACTTCAGTGTATTTCAAATATATTCTACAAACTATTTCCTATATAAAAAGCAACATTAATTTGTCTTTTTGTACACACTCATGTTACATGCTCCCCACTGGGAGACAGCAGAATCAAGGCTGCCCGTCCTACCGCCAGCCATGTTCCTAATCTAGAATAATCAAATACTTTTGCCTTTGAAGACTCTCACACCAAAGATGTTTCACAACAGCCCCCTCCAAATGCTGCGTGTCTCTCCCTGTCCCCAGTGGCTGCCAAACTCTGCTCAACTTCCCCAAGCATTCCAACAGGGAGCAAATGTTAACACAAAATGCTGTTGTAAGGAGACACTTTAGGAGCAGGGGCAACAAGAGAGACCTGCTCAGTCCTAATGGACGTGTACTTGCACATCAGAGGTGAGCACCACCTTTGCTGTCCTGCTTGGAGATGTCCTCCGTGAGAACAGCTCATTCCACGGGTGGCATGCACCTATGGCATCCCACCAGAGAAACTGGCTCAGGTGATGCTCCACTGCAGTTAACACTCTGTCCTCTGCTGCTTGCAGGTACAACCAGCCCTCAGCCTGTCTTCAAATGTCTGGTTTTGTAATGGAAGATCAAGAAAAAAACAGGACACTGCTACATGGATCTTTTTTTTCTTTGCAATACTAATATCTACAGAGAAACATTCATAACTGCTCAACAGAGTAAAAATATGCTACATCAAAACTGTACCAGAAAAAGCAAGACCCCTGTAACAGCTGGGGAAGAGTTCAAGGGTAAAAATCAGAATTAAACAGCCAGCTTAAAAGTATGCCACTGGAAACATCTGAGAAAATAAATAGGGTTGTCCTTTCTCTGCAGCTCGGCAGACACTGGAAGTGGTGCAATCTATCTTCTTGTTTGATGTTGCTGTTGGGATCTTGGCTCTGTCTCACCACGGAGCAGCACGGGCACAGCCCCTAGTCTGACAAGCCCGGGGTGAAGTCCCTGCCAGAGCAGGGAGTGTGTGCAGGTGCTCACCTGAAGCAGGTACCTGTCTCTTGTGAAGGAAGCACTGCACATCCCACTGGAACAGGAAAGCCAACAGGGAACACACCACCTTCCATCTAAATTCTCCTGAGAGCTCACTGCAGCAGCAGGGCCACGCACTTGGTGTCTGTGCGAGGAGGCTGGAGCATGTACCACCAAGAGCATTCTCTTCCTGTGATGAGTGAGCTGCAGGCCCATGTAAAACACAGAAAGCAAAGACATTTGTCTGCCCTCCTGGGAAGCACACACTGTCTGGATGACAGACAAACTACTGACGAGGACGGGCTCCAAACTAATAATAGCATTTCCCAGGGGATTAATTTACAAAGTGCCACTGGTCCTTGGAACCAATATAGTGTACAGTATATATTACAGCAAACACCAGCTCTGCAGCTTGTGTTGGCCCCTCTCTGCACTCTATGCAGAAGGACTCAAATATCCACACTTTTTACAATAGACTCCTTCCCTTTTTATACAAAGGAAAATAAAACCATAAGTTAAACCAGCAATAAATTAAAACTACAGAACGTGTGTGTCCTGGTCAGCCCCCTTTGTGCATTCCAATCAGACTGGAGAGCTTCTCACAGTGCTCAAGTTTCAGTGATTCTGCTTTCTGTTTTAACCGCTCATCTCTGTACAGCTTGGCCAAATTTGACAAATCAGACTCTGAAAGATGAAAAAAGAAGATACATATTAGAACGAAGCTGTGAGCCTGCTTTCAGTAATTTCAGTTTCTCAATGCTTTGTTATCCTTGTGGCATGTGTGGGGTCTTTTTTAATTGTTTCAGTGAGACTGGGCATGTTAATGTGCTCTAAAGAGACACCATCAGGTTTAACCAAGCTACTTAATTAAGAAAAGAGTATTTTCATAAGTGTTTGAAAACTCAAACAGTCTCACCAACCCTCTCTAACCAGTGCACTAGCAGGACAATAACCAAACAAAACCCAAGACTGATTATTAGTCTATGAAGAAAACATACACTATAAAAGGATAGCTTAGAAGTCAGGTGAGGTTTAAAATCAAGTTGATTATCTAAAGAATAGGTGATTGCTTTAAGATACCTGTATACTGTTAAACTAATGGCATAAAAGGGGCTACACAGAACCTGTCTTAGGCAATATCGTGACTTTCATTGGAATTAGCTCTCTCATCCTGCACTGATCCTTATGGATGCAGAGGGGGGTCACTCTGAACCAGTGGTGTTTCAGTGACAAGCCAGAAGAATGGAGAGCCCCCAAACCACTTTTCTCATCGCTGCCCTGCAGCCTAATAAATAAAGCAGAACCTACAGAACACAGGCCCCTGTCTATGTAACTGGGAAGCATCACTCCTGCGGCAGATCCATTCGCAAGGGCCCAGAGCACCCATCCAAATATACACTTTGTGCTATAGATAATTGGCTTTTTGATGTTGCACTCTCAGAATCCAAATTGCCTGGCAAGAGGTTTGCCCAGACAGCAGTATAAATGGGTTTAATTTTCCCCCCCATGGTATTCATTACAGGGAGGTGAAGAAGTAGCTGAGGGACTTGTCTGAAAGGCCCCTGTGCCCTTTCATTAACAACACAATCTTGAAGGTACTTCGCACATTTCTTCCCCTTCTTCTCAAAAGCAACATGCAGCTGCAATAATCCCCTTGTTTCAATTATTTCCCCCCCTTCAGTAATTCAGAGAATTTCTTTTGCTGATTACCTAAGGAAATCTTAATATAGCTTTCTCCCTGAAGAATCATTCAGATCCAGCATTAGATGCACCTAAGAGAACAGCAGTAATTTGTTGCTGAAAAGGTCAAAATTTCCCTAAGCACTGGCTACCTGATGACACTCAATTTTTCAAAGAGCTTTTATACACCTTCAAGTCCCTCGTTGAACAAAATTATTCAGAGTGGGAAGAACTTCAATAGGTCCTTTCACTCCTTAAGTCCCCTGCCCCTGTCCCCCAGAAATCTAAAGCCATTTAAGCCTCCACCTATTTATTGAGAAGCTTTACAAACTGACAGGCACGACCATTTCACTGTAGATCAGGAATCAATTTTCAGGTTTTATAACTCAAATGCCACTCAAGCAGTGCTGGGCACATAACCTTGACAAGCCTTCAGCAAAGCCAGACTCGGGTAACTGTCTCCTAGTGCAGAGTCCCTGGAGTTCTGCAGCGAAGGATCTTATCGGGCAAAATTATTCACTGCAAATGGCTGCACTCTGACAACATTCACTCTGGCACATCTGTTTCTTGTGTTTTTCAATCTTCTACAGAGACTTGTTCCTTTGAACTTGTTAATGGAAGCTCTAAAACACCCAATTCTAACTACATGGCCATATCCTCTCTGTTTTCAGTTGCCTCTCTCTAATTTCTACAGCTTGGAGCTCTTTCCTATCTTACCTTACAATTGTGCTACCACAGCGAACAACCTCCTGTAAAACCTGGGATGTGCTGGTTGTACTCTATCAGGGATTTCAGAATTCCAAACCTCACAGCATACACAGCTTTGACACACTATTCTGTGAAGGGAGGAACACTGCCTAATGCAGCAGTGCTTCAGTTACTTCTGCAGATTTCAGTAAGGTTGTTGGACAGCAGGGTAATGCTTTCAAAGTCATAAAGTCAAAGACTTTAAAAATCAAACTGTTCCTATATAACTAATCTATGTTCATTCTGCTGGTTCTAGAGAGAAATGCAGCTTCAGTAAAAAACCCAAACAAATGTCCTGTTAATAGACATTCAACTAACAAGAGTTGCCCATGTTAAGCTAAACACTTAAACAAGAATTAACAGACCCAAGTTACGAAGCAACAGTTGACTAAGAACTGTCTCAACGTCTCAGAGAACTCCTCCCCAGCAGTCCATCATGTACTCACAGTTTACTCACGGTTTATTTTTACACACTTGGCTGTACTAAGTTAGCAGAGCCTCAGCTGTGCTTGTTACCTGCCCGCTGGCCTAGATGATAATTACTCTGAAAACGGTTTTATGTTCTTTTTCCAACTATAGTGGTGTCCTGGGGCTTCTGCAATTGTGGGTGCTGTAAATATATCTGCAGACGTGTGACTAATAAAGCCTCAAAGTGCAAATTGCTCCAGAGGAGCACTGTTTTGCAGCCATGATTTAGCATTCAGTGCTGGGTCACCCCACCCTCTCTTGACTTAGGCTCTCTTAGAGTTGCAAACCCTGTTGCCTGTCTTGGGGCACAGCACTCCTTAGCTCAAGGTCTGTGTGAAAGAGACAATTTGGTGACTTTCAGTTGCACAAGAAGGATTTTTCTGTAAGAAATCAATTCTCTCTCCACAGCAAGCCTACACACGAAGCCTACAGTTGCAGCTATTAACAGCCACATACACCTAGAGGCTGCTACTGCCAGCCACAGATGCTCAAAATCACAAGTCAAGCACACCAAAAACTATGGGATTGTTTGGGATTTTCATGGTCTTATATTAGGTTCTTTTTAATTTAACGTCAGAGCCTACATCTGTATGTGTCTCTTGAAAATCAGGATGGATAAATTTTATGTAAAATAAACCAGTCTCTGGATGAAAACAAAACAACTCTTCCCATCAAAAACCTGGGAATAATTTGGAGTCAGAAGCACTTACTGTTCCCTCTAGCACAACAAGGCTTGTTTAGGCAAAGTGTACGCTTCCATAATGATGCAATGGGTATAGAAACTGTAAACAAGTGCAAAGAGACTTCTTAGTAGTGTGCCAAGGACTGCTTTACATGGAGCAATTTAGAAAGCCCTACTAGGGTGTGGAAGCAGCTCACCTGCTACTACTCAACATTTACACAGAAATAACTTCTTCCAGCTTCGTGTATGCACAGTGGTAGTTTGTGTGATGGGTTCATCAGTTACAACATCTCAACTTCTCCCAGTCCTTGTATTTGATTTCTCTTATTTTGTACAGTTCCAAAAGCAGCAGGGATTTGCTCCATGAACTAGATCAGTAGTAGTTAACAAGTAATGCAGTATGAGGTTAAATAAAATACAGATCATCAATCGACTTAGGACTGACGTGAGAATAATGATTTTAAATGCTCACATTTTGTGTTCTCCCTTTCAGCATTCAATACTTGTTTTTAAAAGACAATTTTGATTATGGAGAAAAACATGCTCTTAAACTCATCTAAAGATAGAAAATGCAAATAAGCACAGAAAAGCAGCATGAAAGCAGGCTCTTTGAAAACTGGTATCAGTACCACAGTCTACTGCAGGATTACCACGAGCACCTGAATAGGCTGTGGGCTCTCATCTGGGGAAGTGTTGAAGAAGAAGTTAGATAATCTTCTTGTGGAGCCAGTGGAAACAAAAATGATTCTGCTTCAGCAAAGGAAAAGTGGAACAGGTGATGTCTTAATATCTTTTCTAGCCCTAACAGTGTCAGAGCAAGATAAATGTGGAAGATTATATGTTTGAAACATCATCACTAAGAGTAATTCAAGCATAAAAACTGAGTGGAAAAAAATATCTCAGAGGGTGAGAGCTACTTTCCACGTGTCTCTCAGAATCACCTAAAATGAATTTTGACAGACTCTCAAGAATAGAAAGAGCAGATGTGAGTAATACCAGTGCAAAGATGTGAAAAGCATCGGAAAATGAGGCTAAACCCAGCAGTGCTTGGTGAAGCGCAGCCACCACCCAACTCCTCAGGGGTTGTGGGCACACCCCCTAACAAAAGGAACTTACTTTGCTGTTTCTCCTTCCAGCAGCTGGTCTGAATGTAATCTATGTAATCTTTTTCAACGGTTTTCTCTAGCTCTTGAAGTTCTGCTCCTTGATAATTCCTCTCAAAGTTTTTATCAACGTAATAAGGCACCTGCAAGTTCTCAGTTTCTCTACTAATCACATGGCCTATGGACCTATGAAAACATGGAAAAAACAGGGGGGTTAGCAGTTTAAATAGAAAGAAATCAAAAGATGTTTCTCCATATCAGCATTTGCAGAGGACAGCGTTCACAACTTCCTTTCAGTTACTTTCTGCAGCACTACAGCTCCCTCAGCCGTCCAATAAGGAAATTACAAGTCTCAGGCACAGCAAACTATGCACTACAAACAGAATTCACCCTGCTAAAAACCACAGCAAAATATCCAACATTTGGTGATCTCTACAGAGAAATGACTCTGAGCTGACTCTGTTCTTTGCACATACTGTGTGTGTTCTCAACAGCCAGTCAAGACATTTCCAAAACATCAGAGCAAATTTTATCTATGAGCAGAAGCTCCACACACTTTCCCCTGTTTGCTGGTAATTCCTGCTAAGCCAGGTCCAGAAATTCATGGGAACTGGTACCAAATATAGAGATTACAGAAAGGCATATAGCCCTTGAACTGCTGAGGGCACAATACAACTGCATCTGGATCTTCTCAATTTCTGGATCCTTTAGTAGAAATAAAAATTAGCAGGGGAGAATCTCGTTGGGTTTTTATAGGGTTTTATAATCATCAGTAAGTGAAGTGGGGCATGGAATATCCTAAAGTGGGTAGAATTCCCTACTCTGACACAGCCATTGGATCAAAGTGCACTCATATCCTGAACTTCCTTATTTAAGCAAAGACACCCAGGCATTCTTTCAAATCACTGCCCAGAGAAAGAGGCAGGCAGCCAACACACAAAGGTTATACTCTACTTGATGGAATCCAGTTTGCCCCTTCCATTTCCTGGACTCCCCTCTTGTCATGTCTCAGAGGTGGATGCTCGCGCTCTCTCTCTCCCCACACATACATATATAACCAATTTCTTTCAGTTTTTAGGCTGTTAGGTTTTTTGAGGATATGATTTAGAGAAGCAGCGTGTGTGCCAGGCTCAGGCCTGGCTATCTCAAATCAAAGGGGAGGCTGGGAAAGAAAGCAGAAGAGGTGAGCTGCTCAGGGACAGTGTGGGAGGGTTCACATGGCACTGACAGATCGCAAAAACACTCACTGAAAAAAACCCCAAACCCAAACCAGCCGAAAACAACCACCCTCCTGTTCTCACGCTGGGTCTACACACTGACATCTTGTGGTAAACAACGACAAAGGGTGCTTGGTTACTATGACAGTGGAGACAATATGGGCCTAAACCCAAGTAGTTATACTCCTAGAAGGGAGCAAGGGGAGTGTTTGGAGCACTCTGCTACTGCTGTGTGCAGCAGGTTCTCCAAAAACCCAATGGGTCCCTACTCCTATGTCAGCAAGAGCTGGTGAAGGTGACTGAAGTGAGCTCTGTCCCACCAGAGAGCTTCCTTCTCTCCTCCCAACACTGGATGCTGAAAGGAGCAGGCAGCTTTTTCTCTGCCTCCCAAACTCACATTCCAGCAGGTCTGGTGGTGTTCCTTCCACTTCCTGAGCTGAGCAGTTGCTTGCCCTCTGCAACCCTGGGGTCCTTCTTCGTTACAGATGTTAAGTCTGGCCATTACAAGGCTTTAATGGTTTGTGGAGCTTGACAATTCTTGCAGTGGAATTCAGGCTCCAGAGCACATTTAGATTTCTGCTTCATTTTTTTATTGCTCTCCATAGGAGTCTTGGGGGTGGCCCACAGACCCCTGGGGCTGGGCAGAGCAGAGGCTGAGCAGCACTATAGCCGAGCTACACCTACATTCCTGGTACTCTATTGCTGTACAAAACCCTTTCAGGCCAGTTGTGAAATCTTTCTGGCCCAGTGCATCTGTTTCTTCAGCACACAGCACAATAAAGCTCACCATAACTAACTTCACGGCGATAATGCTTAAGAGAATTTGTCCATAGAGATGCCTGGTGTTCCCATATTTACAAATTGATAGTGCTTTCCAGAAAGAACAGAGCACTAACATGCATTTTGCTCCCAAGTCCAACTTCCCTTATCTCAAAGACCAAAAAGCAGAACAATGTGGTTTGGAATGACTTACGATTTGTAGAACAAGCTGTAGGGTGGGTTTGTGGCCATCAGTTGCGTTATAACTGACACTATTATGATGATGAAAACTGGCATCAACTGAATAAATGCAGAATATGAATTCTGAAAAGAACAACAATAATTAGTAGTTAAAAAAAGATAGAGATGGGAATGGATGCATCTGTCCACAGAAGCCAGGCTATCTATCACAGACCAACAGTGTAAACTGAAGAGAAAGTACTATTGAATCTTGAGGGATGACATTTTAATTTCAAAATAATCTTAATAATCTCAAACTCTTTCAAGCCATTTTGTTTCCATTATATTTTCATGACATATCGTTCATCTACAGCTCCCTTCAGAAGGCGACAGCCGCCCACAGCGCAGTAACCAGCTGACAATCCAAACTAAAGGAACACCCTGCAATTCCCACTGGGCATCTTCTGAAGTTTGCTGCATGCATTCTAAAAAACCCCAATTTCAGTTTCATGGACGAAATGGCTGAAAAGTAAAGGGTTAAGAGACTGTATGTGGTGTAACTTGGGACAGGATGCACTTGGGGTTTCATCCAAATAAATTTTGAACAGAGTGGTAAAAAAACCTCAAAGACAAAATGCAGATCTTTACTTCTGCTCTTAACTTCTAAGTAGGCTTCTGAAATGCCTTTTCTTACCAGGACCTAAATATAACATGCAGCGATTTAAGCTTTGCTCTCTACCCTGAGAAAGCAACGAAGATACCTGACATTAGCAGTAAGTGGATTCCTTTAACCTAGCAGAGCTGTCCTTGGGCTCTAGCAGTGTTTTTTCAGAGACTGACAATAAGAGGAACTCAAAAGGAAAAATTAATCTTCCTTGGGGAATGATCTCATTAGGTTAAAGCCTGCCTCTGGAGGAAGATTTCTGCAAGGCAGGTGGCATGTGTGTATGCATGCTAGCAACAAATGACACCTTATTTGCCTCACTGGGAGGCAGTGGAGAACACAGATGAGTGGGGTACCCCAGGGGTCACTACTGGGACTGTTCTTTCTGGGCAGTGGGATTGAGCACCCTCAGCAAGTTTGTCAACACCATCAAGCTGTGTGGTGCAGTCACACGCTGGAGGGA